CATTAAAGTCCTAGAGGAGAACATTGGTAAGAAAATCTCAGATATTCCAGGCAGCAACTTTTTTACTAACAAGTCCCCCAGAACAAGGGACATAAAGGAAAGAATAAACAAATGGGATCTCATCAAAATTAAAAGCTTCTGCATGGCTAAAGAAAAGAGTATTAAGATAAAAAGATAACCAACTGTATGGGAAAACATATTTGCCAATGATACCTCAGACAAGGGTTTAATCTCCAAACTATACAAAGCACTTACACGACTCCACTCTAAGAAGATAAGCAACCCAATTAAAAAGTGGGCAAAGGACTTGAACAGACATTTCTCCAAAGAGGACATACAGAAGATCCAGAGACAAATGAAAAGATGCTCATATACAGACAACAAATGCTGGAGAGGTTGTGGAGAAGAGGGGACCCTAATCCATTGTTGGTGGGATTGAAGACTGGTACAACCACTGTGGAAAACAGTATGGAATTTTCTAAAAAAACTAAAAATGGACCTGCCTTTTTATCCAGCAATTCCACTGCTGGGATTATATCCTAAGAATACTAAAACAATCCAAAAGAACCTATGCACCCAATGTTCATAGCAGCACAATTAACAACAGCCAAGAGCTGGAAGCAACCTAGGTGCCCGTCAGTAAATGAATGGATCAAAAAATTATGGTACAAAATATACAAAGAACTTACAGGACTCCACTCTAAGAAGACAACCAACCGATCCAATGAAAAAATGGGAAAAAGACTTGAATAGACACTTCTCCAAGGAGGACATACAGAAGATCCAGAGACACATGAAGAGATGCTCAATATCCTAAGCTATCAGAGAGATGGCAAATTAAAACCACAATGAGATACCACTTTACACTGGTCAGGATGGCTATCATAAACAAAGCAACAAACAACAAATGTTGGAGAGGGTGTGGGGAAAAGGGGACCTTAGTTTGCTGTTGGTGGGATTGCAGACTGGTACAACCATTATAGAAAACAGTAAGGAATTTTCTCAGAAAAATAAAAATCGACCTGCCTTTTGACCCAGCAATTCCACTGCTGCTAAAACATCAATTTCAAAGAACTTATGCATCACAATGTTCATAGCAGCACAATTTACAATAGCCAAGAGTTGGAAGCAACCTAGGTGCCCGTCAGTAAATGAATGGATCCAAAAATTGTGGTACATATACCGCAATGGAATTCTATGCAGCAGAGAGAAAGGAGCTACTACCCTTTGCAAAAACATGGATGGAACTGGAAAGCATTATGCTGAGTGAAATAGGCCAGGTGTTGAAAGACAAATACCATATGATATCACCTTTTACAGGAAGCTAAACAACAAAACAAACAAGCAAGCAGAATAAAAACAAAGACACTGAAATAGAGAACAGGGGGACAGTGACCAGAGGGGAGAGGGAAGGGAATTTAAGGGGAAAAAAAAAGGGGAGGGATTTGGAGGAACAAATATGAAGGACACAGGGACGAGAACTAAGGGGGGTGGAAATGGGAAGGAGGTGGGGAGCACGGGGCGGTGGGGGCTCTGGGATGGGAGAAATAGACAAAAAACTGTACTTAAAAAATAACTAAATAAAATTTAAAAAAATTATGGTACATATACACAACGGAATTCTATGCAGCAGAAAGAAAGAAGGAGCTCCTACCTTTTGCAACAGCATGGCTGGAACTGGAAAGTATTATGCTGAATGAAAAGCCAGGTGTTGAAAGACAAATACCGTATGATCTCACCTTTAGCAGGAAGCTAAACAACAAAACAAACAAGCAAGCAAAATAAAAACAAAAACACTAAAATAGAGAACAAGGGGACAGAAACCAGAGGGGAGAGGGAAGGGAATTTCAGGGGGAAAAGGGGAAGGATTTACAGGAACTAGTATAAAGTACACATGGACAACTAAGGGGGGTGGAAATGGGAGGGAGGCAGGGAGCACTGGAGGGGTGGGCTGGGATGGAAGTAAAAACCAGAAAACTGTAGTTGAACAATAATTAAATAAATTAAAAAAATTATATGTCTGATAAAGGAAAGAATAAACAAAGGGGATCTCATGAAAATGAAAAGCTTCTGCACAGCTAAAGAAAACAGCATTAAAATGAAAAGAGGCCCTGGCTGGTGTAGCTAGGTGGATTGAGCACGGGCCTGCGAACCTCACGATCGCGGTTCGATCCCCAATCAGGGCACATGCTTGGGTCGCAGGCCAGTTCCTAGCAGGGGCCAGTTCCCAGCAGGGGACCCAGGAGAAGCAACGATACATTGATATTTCCCTCCTTCTCTCCTTCCCTTCCTCTCTAAAAATAAATAAATAAAAATTTTAAAATGAAAAGAGAACCAACTGTAAGGGAAAACATATTTGCCAATGATACCTCAGACAAGGAACGGTATGATCTCCATAATATATAAAGAATTAACATGACTCCACTCTAAGAAGACAAGCAACCTAATTAAAAAATGGGCAAAGGACTTGAACAGGCACTTCTCCAAGGAGGACATATAGAGGGTCCAGAGGCATATGAAAAGATGCTCAATATCACTAGCCATCAGATAGATGTAAATTAAAACCACAATGATACCACTTCACACTGGTTAGAATGGCCATCATAAACAAAGTAACACGCAACAAACAACAAATGTTGGAGAGGTTGTGGAGAAAAGCCAACCCTAGTGCACTATTGCTGGTACTGCAGACTGGTGCAACCACTATGGAAAACAGTATGGAATTTTCTCAGAAAACTAAAAGTGGATCTGCCTTTTTACCCAGCAATTCCACTGCTAGGATTATATCCTAAGAACCCCAAAATACCAACTAAAAAGAACCTATGCACCCCAGTGTTCATTGCAGCACAATTTACAATAGCTAAGTGCTGGAAGCAACCCAAGTACTCATCAGTAAATGAATGGATAAGAAAACTATGGTACATTTACACAATGGAATTCTAAAGAACAGAAAGAAGGAGCTCCTACTCTTTGCGACAGCATGAATGGAACTGGAGAGCATTATACTAAGCAAAATAAACCAGACGGTAAAAGACAAGTGCATACAATCTCACCTTTAAGTGGAATCTATTCAAGAAAATGAACAAGCAAGCAAAGTATAGCCAAAGACACTGAAGTTTAGAACAGGCTAACAGTGATCAGCAGGGAGAGGGGAGGAGATAATGGGGGAAAAGGGTGAAGGGTTTATAGGAACAATTATAAAGGACATACAGACAATAACAAGGGGGAGTGGAAACGATGGAGGGACAATAGGGGTGGTGAGGAGGGGTGGGGGGGAAAAAGGCGGAAAACTGTACTTGAACAAGTTAAAAAAAGAAAAGAAAAAATCAAGCATGCAAACAACTCATGTTATTTCAAAAATGTCATATAATTTACCAAATCCAGAAATATTTTTTTCATTAAAAAATTAATGCCACTTATTATTTAAAAAATCTATTTCTGAGTCACCCTGAACACACCAATATATTTTTTCATGCCTAGATCAATGCCCCTAGCACTTTTTCTCCTGGCTAACTCCTCCTATCTGTCCTCCCTCATCGCTACGATTCCACTTTACCTGAAAAGCCCTTGACTGACTCAAGAGCACCCCTGACTTCACTGCTTGTCCTACAGGATCCCAACTCACCCTGTGCATCTTAGCACTTACTACACCATATACTGGAACTGCCCATTGACTAATCAATCTCACTCAACACTGAGCTTTCAGAAGGCTTAAAACAGGATGCTTGTATCTCTAAAAAGCTTGTCAAATGTCTGCTATATAGTCAATGTTGAGTAGTTAATGAGAAAACGAAATCAGGTGGGTGGTTCATTAACACTTATTCTAGCTTTCTCCAAATAAAATATGAATACCTTTTTAATGTATACACAACTTTATATTTCAGATACCTCAGCAACATCTTTTTAACCCATGAAGAGACTGAATCCTAGAGAGGTGAAATGACTTATCCAGTTATCACAAAACTATTCTATGTTCTGGTCAAGAGTGAAATAGCACAGGAATTCTTTTTTTTTTCCTCTTTTAGCATTAGCCATTCAAGTTCTGTATGACACTGAATAATAATAGACCCTAATTACCAGGATTCTGTGCAACCATCTTCTGTTGATACTTAATCTTCCTTACAATTTTCAACCAAACCCTGTAACCAATTTGCAAAGACCTTTTAAAATGCTTCTTCCACCAACAAAAAAACATCTTAGCATAAAAAAAGGACTTTCCTGTTTCATCATGGAAAGTTCTGAGAAAGAAACGGAAAACTAAATATCTCCAAATAAAAATTTTAAACAGCCCTAAATAAACACAGAGGTAAAGATGCTCAAGATTTTAATGCTGGTACCCTGTAAGCCTTCTAAAAATCAAGTCTACCAACTGGTAATAGCTATTTCAGAGTAACTGGTTATCAGAGAGATCAGAGGGTTGGTTATAAGAAAAAAAGGTGCTGTTTATGGTCATGGAGAAAACTGGCTCAATAGAGACAAATAAGTATACTGATTCTAACAAGGGTGCTGAACTCCTAGCTACCAGGAATCCTAAAATCATTATTAGATGAGAGACATGCCTCTGAGTGAGCCCAACTGCGTCTCAAGACCACTGCTGCCAGTAGGCTGTTCACGTGCACCACTGAAAACTACTGTGAAATGAAGAAAACCCAAACAAGTTATTCAAGGATAGTTTCTACTTACCATTTTTAACAGACTGTGCTCAGCTCTTTTGGCTCTGGAAGAGCCCAGAACTAAGCAAATCAGGTAGCAAAGAAAGAAAAGTACCACTATGAAAAACTAGGTAAGTAGAAAACACAAATTTTTCTGTAAAAACAAGACAAAAAACATTAATTTAGAGGAGACTATCCTGCATCAATGGATTATTTTGGACTCTTAACACCTTGAAATGACCAGAACAGCCAATTCAGGCACATGCTACCTCAATCTTGTCATTTATTTTAATACTGAGATATTGACATCAAATTTTTTTTAACTTACATAGACACTTTTAGTATTTTCCAAATGGCAGGGTATGTTTATGTGTATACAGACTAAAGTGTGTATTCAATATGATTTAGCAACATTCTATGTAATTAATGTGTTGAAATCTTATAACTGGGAATGCAGACAACTGTATTTTCAAACATCAATATTTTTGCCTTTTAAGGGCCCATAAAGAATTATTTGCAAGGCATATATGCTTTGCATGGACAGTAATTCCCTCCTCCCACCCCCACATATCATTACTTTTTCAATATACGGTATTTAGAAATTTAAGACCAGGAGCAAATATCTGTCAGACTAATTTTTGCTTTTTCAGAGGTGCAACTTTTTAATAAAATTTTACATCTAGATAAACAATCTTCAGATTTTTGAAACTTTAATAAGACTTTAAAAACATCGTGACTTTGAACTGAAAAAAAACATACACATTTAGCACAAATATCGTAATATGAATCAACTTCAAATCCATTTGAAAACATGTGAATCAAATTACAGTTTTAGAAGTTAATAATTCACATTTAAGCAAGTTAGCGCCTTGCTGAATTCAGCCTTTGTAAAAAAAGAGACTTAGTGCATATTGTAATGGCACAATGTGCTTCTGTACCATTTTGTTGATTTTTTTCACCTTTTTAAACAAGATTAAACAAGATCAATTTCTTGGAAGTTGGTTGATAATGGCTAACTTTCTATGATGTGAAATTTCCAATGGGAACAGTTACACTTTATAACAGAACACTCTATAGATTTATTTTCCTACCTTAAAATTTTAAAAGCAATCATTTGTAAGGATTGCATCCACATCAATTTAGCAGAGGAAGATCAAACTTTATTGAAACTGCTTGCATACAAAATATATTGCACTATAACCAAACAAATGTCAACATAAAATCCAATCAGTTGTCGCTAATATGTACAGAGAATATTGCCCAAGAGCAGTTACATTACAAGGTCATTCTACCTTGGTTAATTATCTACAGTGTTTTAAACCAAACAGCTTACAGATGATGTGTGCAAGGTACCAATTTCTGTTTTCAAATACTATACATTCCCAGAATAAATAACTAGAAATCAACATTAATGTTTGGCAATAGTTTTAAAAGACTTTAATATTCTTGAAATCATGTGCAGTTTGTTTTCATTTTTATATGTTTATTTGTATGCAAGGAAAAGTAACTAAAATGAAAATTCAAAGAAACAAACTCACGAAATACATCAGAGGCAGAACTTCGGTTTGTATACGGCTCTGTACAGATTCAGTGGTACCCCAACTTGGAGTTATTTTTTAAGAAAAATATAACATCTTACAGTGAAGGTCCTTCACATATTATTCCTCAGTAAAGTTCACTCATTAAAAAAAAAAAAAAGACTAAAAACGAAACCAAACGCAACATGTCAGAAAACAAAAGGAAACTTTTAAAAGTTATTTGTTAACCAATCTTAGTCTGCTTTCCAATTCTGCTTATACATTAGACCTAATATTTCAAAGTTTACAAAACATTTAACCTGTTTCCAATATTTCTTAAAGAATGTGTACTTCACAGAGTAATTGTGCACACATGAAAATGACGCTCCTATCTCTGCAAAATAAGCTTGAAATTAAAGTATGAATAACTTCACAAAATGGGGGGTGGGGCAAAATAAAATAGGCTCTAAGTTAAAACTGGTCATCAGGCCAAAGAGCAGGCATATCCTACTAACAATCAACCAAAAAATTTGTTCTTAGCTGAAAACATTTTAGCCTCTCTCAAATGAAAAGATAATTATGTCTTCTGTCTATAAAGACAAAATTACACATCCCTCTCAATAACACTATTTGTCAACTTCAGTGCAACAAAACATAAAAAAACAAGTCTTATTCTTTATACTGCTTAACCTGATGTTTATGCAAATAACAAAATATGGAAAGCATGCATTCTTCTATAAAGTACTAGTATTTGACAGGGTTTGCAACATCTTTAACATTTAGTGTTTCCAACTTATCTTCCCTGAACTCTGCATCCAAATATTCCTACCTGCCGATATAAAAAAGGCACAGATCATACAACTTTTTTTTTTTGCTAATGAAATGACAAATGTCACATCACACACATCTTACAGTCCACTAAAATACTAGAAAAGTGGACCAAAACATAAACTGACACAGGACATGAAATGACACAGTATTTCGTGGACTTCTATATGAGACTGAAAATAGAAGTCTAATATGATTATCATAAGTGCTATTTATTCAGGAAATCTGAACTGTACCAGTAGCTATCACCCTATGCAGGAAAATAATCTCAATTAACAAAGGATATCACTTCTCAGCTCTTTAAAAAAGTAAACTAAAATGCTGTCCTGAAGTGCTAAGTATACTTAAAAGCAGTGTTTCAATATTTCATGTTTTTTTTTTTTTTGGTGCAAATCTGAAAATTGCTGCATATGGCCAATACCAGAAAAATAAAATCTTAAGCAGAATTTGTGTTCATTTCATACCCTGTGCCATCTTGCCTACTATTTGTCTTTGGCCTAACAAAGTTTTCTATATGGAATAAGAATTATGGAAACAGTATAGGAAATGTAACTTCAGAATTATGCAGTTTAGGGTACTCCATTCACAAGTGGTTGCTGACCATCCACGCTGTCTGGCTTTTCCTTCTTCTGGTTACGATCTTTACCCGTGCGCAGTCGATTACCTTCACTGGAGGTATTCTGTAATGTTTTAGTGTGGATACTCCTTTCATTATTGCAGTCAACTCTGATCTAAAACAAGTTATAGTTGTTATATATACAGACCATATCCTATTGTAATTTGTAATTGGCCTGACAAGAAATTTAAGCCTGAAGTTCAAATTTAACATGTTAAAAAAGAAAATGGGGGGTGGATAAGAATAGAAGAAGTGCAAGAAATTAGGTCAGGTAGGATCTTTATTTGGTTTATGATTTTAAAACGCTCTTCTTCTTTAACTGGAACACACTGGTCATCTCACTGCATCCAAAGTTAGATAAAAACTCACAATCCTACCGTGTCTTCTTCTAAGCAGAAAACAGTGAGAAACAAATAGTTAAAATAAATTACTATTACTGATTACAAAATATACATGGCTATAATACTCAAATTCTAAAGAATGGGTTATTCTTCAAAGACTATGAAATGCAAGAGAAAAAGAGACAAATTAATGCCTTCCTATTCTGACTTTACCAGGATAATAACTCAACTAACTCACTTATTAACTAGCCTTTAGTTTACAACCTAATATCATGGGTGTGATTAAGTTTCTCTATACTGAGGGTTCCCATTGTCTTTGGTAGAAGAATATAAGCACTGGATTCTAGCAGTCTGTATTTCAGTAAGGCAAGTTAGATGATCATATAACTTGAACCCTATCTGAAGAATAAGAATTGTATATTGTATAGGGAAATCTGAAGATACTAATATGTAGAGGAATTGGAATCCCAGGAAGAGTGTAAAGATAAATGTTATTTAAAAATTAATACTCTGCCCTGGCTGGTGTGGCTCAGTGGATTGAATACCAGCCTGCGAAGCAAAGGGTGATCAGTTTGATTCCCAGTCAGGGCATGTGCCTGGGTTGTGGGCCAGGTCCCCAGTAGGGGTTGTGTGAGAGGCAACCATGCATTGATGTTGCTCTCCCTCTCTTTCTCCCTCCTTTCACCTCTCTCTAAAAATAAATAAATAAAATCTTTTAAAAAATTAAAAAATAACATCCTAAGATTTATATCATATTTTAAATGCCAACACAAAACACTTAAAACACTGCTAACAGAGTTCTAGGTGCTGTATAAAAGGAAGATAATATTGACCAATGAACCTAATGACAAGTACTGATCTGTTTTAAGTACATATGTTTCATATATCCCATAATGGTTCACTGTAATTTCAAAGTATGTTTAAGTGCTGGGTCTCGTGTGTGTTTTAAATGTTTTGTGTCAAGGGTTCAGTGCTTTGATTTAGATCTATTCTCATACTTACATAGAAAACACTACCTTTCTTTCGATACACTATTTTAATTATAAATATGCATCCTTTTAAGCAATGTGATCACAAAGCCTAGTTCATCAAACATTTCTGTTTAAGTAGGAAATTACAAAACTGGTACATACAAATGCCTTACATCTTCATAAGCCACATAAAAGTATATATTACTTCATCCACGTTTTTATTTAGGTCTAAGGTCTTTTCTATGTTGGTCCTGAACAACCCAGCAACAGGTAACAATACTTACAACTGCTATGAATTCTAAAGAACATTCTGTCACAAAGGTTCTGCTTTTAAAATCTCATTTCTCACCTATTTTGGGTGTTGGTCCCAAACCAATCCACAGTCAAAATGGAACCCTAACTAGTTGGGTTAAGAATTAAGAGAAAAGGAAGTATAAGAGAATGTGGGTTCTTGTAAGCAGCAGGGTTTGAATATCACTGCACCACATGGTAACTATGTCACTTTGGGCAAAGGACTGAATCTTTCTAAACTTCAGTTTACTTATCTGTAAAAGAGAATAGTTAAATGACTTACCTTGGGGGCTGCTGTAAGATGAAATTAGATACAACACACACAAAACAGCAAAGGTGTGTGGACATGCTCAGTGGTAATTTCAAAATTATTTAACAATGGGATCAGCGCAGGTGATAAACAATTGATACGGGAGTTTCAGATTGAGGCTGGCTATAAACAAGCAGCTGACTGATTCAGCAGGTTCTGGTTTGAGTATCATCAGCCTGCCTATCATAATTATTACCCTTGAAAAAGATCCCTTTTCATTACTTTCCACTTAAAGAGGACACCTTATTCCTGCTACTCAGGGGAGGAGGGACCCTCAGGATTTACTTAGGTCTCTCTTTCAGTATATTCTGGGCTATTCTTTTCTTGGGGGAATTGTAGGGACCAACCAATGTGGTATCGAAGTCATAATGTGGCTGTCAAAGTCTTCACAAATTCTTAGACCGTATATTCCCTAGAGAAATCTTTGTATACTTGCACAAAAAAAACTAAGATTGTGCAACTGTAATGCTGAAAGGAAATTATTTCATATATATCAAATTTACATTCTTTAAATGTTTTAAAAAAGTAAAATAAACTCACACATTTTAAACTACTGTAACTGAAACAATTCAGGTGAAAAGAGGCACATAGGTTTACCTGGAGGGATCCATCTGCTGTTCTTCCTTTTGCCTCTCTCGGATTACGTGGACGATTATCTGTTCGGGAGTGATCGTCATTTCCTGTATAGACATTATTAAAAGTTCAACAATTACTGATTCTAACATGCTTATTGGAAGCTGTTTATTCATATATCCTCAATTTACTTAGAGCAATCATTAAATCTAAAATGTAATAAGCAACCTAGTGATTCCAGTTATATAACAGTTAATATTATAGCATTCTACCAAAAACCAAAATATTTTGAAGTCATTACAATTCTGCATCAACTGTCATAGGTCAATCTGAGCTAACAATCAGATGTCATGTTTGTTATGTTTAGAACCCACAAAGAAGGTGAACTTACCAGTGTTTATTCATATATTATACATGAACTACAAGGAACTCTAATAATACTCTGTTAATAACTGGATGAATAAAGGCTGATCCTTTCCTATGGTAACCAGTACAAGAGAAATGAGGTCTTGGTAATATGCCATTTAATCACTGAGATTTTTCACAGAACTTCAGGCAGTTTTCACAATTCATCTTTACTTATCAACAAATGAGAACCGCTGTACCTTTGAAGCCACCTCCACGTCCTCTTCCTCCCTGTCCTCTTCCGCCACCGCCACGTCGTCGTCCATCTCCTCTGCGCAGAAAGTTCTCCCTCTCTTCCTCTGTTGGAGCTAATGACCAATCACTGAGTTCGTCTCTGTGGTCAGATTCTGTTTCAGAAGCATTTGATGCTTCAGAATTAGTTCCTATCGAGAGTTAAAAGTTATATACCATTGTCTGACTTAAAACAAAAAGTTAGGTTAACAGAAGCTTCCAGAGACGTTTCAAGGGTGATCCAATACTCTTCCCAATTTATAAGCCCTCCAAAGAGTATTATCACCTTCTGTTTTATAAAACAAATGATCTTAAATTCAAAACAAAGGGTTTTAGAATATTTGAGGTAATTTTGGTAAACATTTTTTGCTCTATTTTAAAAAGTAAAAGGTTTGTTTTAGTCATCTAAGTTCAAACCTGAGTATGTCACATCATTAAACAGCTATGCTCCTTTAACCATCTGCACTCTTTGGAGGAAAAGTTGTCTACAACAGTTAAATGCAATACCTTGATATACAAAACCTCTATAAAGAGAGTTCCTTTTAATAAGGTTTGGCTAAGGAACAGAGGGTAATACACACATCTGGGTCACTTCTGAGAGGGTGGCAAAGAAGACTGCCATGGCAATTGCCTTAAGGAAAGGTCTCTTGAGGGAACAGAGATTGGATGTAGCTGAATGGGGACATGCTTGCCTGATACTTGGTCCACAACCTTCCCTCCAATTCCCAATGGAATAATTTATTATTAATAAAATAATTATTGTAATAAACACATTATGCCTGAGGGGGTGGTTTCAAGACCTAAGGAATGGGAGTAGAAGAAAAGAGCCCCATAGTGAGGTGGGACTTCAACAGCAAAAAGAGCACACTTTTGAAAGAGGGGTTAGGGGTTAGGTTCCAGGTTGGCCTTAGGAGTAGGTATGTCTCTCCCCCACTCCACAATATAAACTCTACTACCTCTCTTTTCCTCTGTTGGAGCTAATGACCAATTATAGCTTCACCATTATAGCTTCATTCCTGTGGATCTTGAAGGCTTTCCATCTTAAAGAGTTCCTTTTTAAAATGCAAATATGTGTGAGATGGATTATACCTTATACCATCATCAGCAAGTTACATAGTAGATATACAGTTGAGCAAGAAAGACAGTAGGCAGTGGCAGGTGGGAACAATGTTCAGGGAAAGGTAGTAGGAGACAAGAAAACAGCACTGACAGAAGAGCTGGGAAGGCAAAGAGAAAACTTTGCTGACTTCTTGATTGTGCTTAGGGCTGACTTTGGCCATGCCATACAAAATCACCTTATCAGCCACAGGATGCAGGCCCCTGATTTACAAAGTCCATCCAGCCACTACGACCAGCACATGCCTGACAAAAAAATGAGCCACAGGACACAAATGTAAAAAGTTTTGGATATACAGTAATAAAACCAGGAAAGTCCTTAGGAAAGTGGTCAACACACAAGGGCTTAAGCAGATTTATCCCCAGAGCATAGACAGAACTGACACCTGCCCTGTAAACTAAACTCTATGTGTTATTATCAGGTTTTTACTCTATGTCTCTTCCAACACAATTTAACCCACTGTGAATTGGAAACCATGTAGTGAGAAATTGTTATAATGGGGTTCTAATGAATAGTAGAGATTAGCAGCTATTAAGTCTAGGAACAGATAAAGTTACTAAGTAAAATGCTTAGTTTGTACCTGAAGTATATCCAGGACCGCGTCTGCCGTGCCCCCTATTTCTGTAAGGTCTACTACCTCGACCCATTCCTTGACCATCATCAGTCACATAGCCTTTTTCCTTATCTGTACGATTTGGTGGTGGTCTAGAACTAGCTCCAATCTGTCGCAACTGCTCATCAATTTGTAATCTCTCCAAACGCAACTGGTCTACTTCCTATTTAAAATATACAAGATAACAGTAAAAATAATTTGACATTTTGCTTAATAATACCATTCTCCTTTTTATCAGATAAAAAGTATACTGGAAATATTTCAATTTCAGTTCTAAATTTATAGTAAACATTGTTACACAGAATTATCAGGAAGCTGAATGATCTTCTTAAAAAGAAAATTACTATAAATAACAGATTACTGATATCCAGAATTAGAGATATAACAAAAATACTCAGCATTAATAGAATTTAAAGTTGTTTGATTTGGCACAATTATCCAATAGAATCTAATAAAGCACAGATATGGTAGATTTGGGACTTCTTAATGATAGGACATCGAATAAAACAACTCTACAATGTATGAATACAGAAAACAGACATTTAAGGTTTAACCAGCTAACCCTAAATATATCACACATTGTAAATTATCTGAATTGAAATAGATTTGCCAGTTAACATCGTACTGTTTCTTCTGTTTTCAAAGAATATACACTACACAGTAGGTCTTTGATGTGATTATATAAAGAACAATTATCTTCTTTTTTTTAGAGGTGCTTTTTGCTTTTCTTTTTTAGATTTTATTTACTTATCTTTAGAGGGGAAGGGAAGGAGAGAAATATCAAGGTATGGTTGCTTCTCGTAAGTCCCCTGCTGGGAACTGGCCTGCAACCCAGGCATGTGCCCTGATTGGGAATCGAACCGTGATCGTGTGGTTCACAGGCCCGTGCTCAATCCACTGAGCTATACCAGCCAGGGCTAAAAACAATTATTTTCAATGAACTGGAAATGCTCATATTCTTCTTACAGGGGAGAAAACTATTTAATAGCTGATGAAAAAAGTTAGGTCTTACATCATGCCTTGCAAACCTCAAAGAGTACAACTCTGCTAGAACAAGAATGACAAATAGTATAAATTTCGTTCATCAAAATATACACCTGGGGTCCACAGATTCTTACACACAGTGCTTCCAATATGTTGGGTTCTTTCAAATCCATATAAAATCTCAATTATAACCCCTGTCCTTCTTATCTACCTATAAACATCTAATTTATGGATTATAGGGAGCTAGATCCGTAATTATAGTAGTAATGGGTGTCTCAGTCAAGTAGAGGCCATCAGAGAGACTGTCTGCCTGAACAGTCACTGGAGAAGTCCTTGAAAAGGTAAGTTACTAAAATCTTAGTTGTGGCAGTTTCTAGAAAAGAAAGGGCAGGTAAGGATTTGGGTGTGTATAATCTGAGCTCAGAACTAGAATTAGTTTTACAAAGGACTTGGATAAAGAAGAGACTGCAGCCAAGTGAGTGGCTTACTCCAAAAGTACAGTAATAGCTCATGGAATGGGTATGTATATCTTGAAAAACAGAATGGTAATCCAGGTTTTCTCACTGGGGCAAAGCAGTCACCTTTTGGTGAAAGATACCAGGCCCAATGAAGTGAAAGATATGGTGATAGAAAGAATGGCATTAGGACAGCTGTTGATAACCAAAAAAAAAAAAAAATATATTGAAGATCTTATGAATAATAAATCAAAATATCTAAGAAAGATGACTAGTCAAAAGCACAAGGGATTGATACAAGGCAACGCTAACTCTCCAGGTCTTTGTAATTAATTTAAGCTAAGAATATGAAGACACATACAACAGATTACACATAAACATGTTTTAAAACAAAAACAAATAGGCACATCAATGGAGTATCCTACCCATGAAAGCCTTGGAGGATAAAACTTTCCCACTTTCAAATATTAACTGATCACCAGAAGAATGAATGACATGTCTAACTATTGCAATTTTCTTCCTTTTTTGATACAGGTAGAAATTGTTTAATTTTATTTAAGAAATCAGCAATGAATTCTTAAGATAGCATTATAAATATAACAGAGTTGGGCTACTTTAAAAATATTTAGTGCCAGTTATGATATAATTTTAATACATAGGGACAGAAAGAAGAAATTATAAAAGTGATGCTGATAAGACTCCATTTCATTGACTTACAGAACATTTTGGCCAAAAGAAATTTTAAAAAGCATCTAGTCTAGGAGAGTGACTTGCCTTAAGTCACACAGTTAGGTCATGGCAGAAGAGATTCTAGAAGCAAATGGCTGAACTGCCAATCCAATGCTCTTTCCATTTACAACTTGTAGCCCCCTGGTTGCTGCTTTCACTTTTGCAATCTAGAGGAGGCATAAATGCTATAAACACTAACTAAAATAAGCACTTACAAAAAGACACAAATCGTTTCTATTTTGTATAATAGAGTATAGAGAAAAATATGAAGGGTACACATTTAAAAAAAGACTTCATGAAATACTGGGATTTCCTTAATAAACGACATAAAAGAGACAACAAAGGCAAGTAGAAAAGTCATAAAAGCTAGAAAAGATCAACTGAATGAATAAGCTATGTATCTGCAGGATTTACCTAAATCGAATGTAAAGGTTTAACAGAAGAATAATGGGAAATAGCATAATTTATTGAGAATTGGGATACTGGTCCTTAAATTTATAATGATGAAAATTGACTTGTGTTTATAGAAGGAATATAATAAGCTAAACAAAGTGAATACTTTATTACTTTTTACAGCTCATTCATCGTAATCTATAGAATGAATCTTAACTGCTAAAAGGTTACCATGGAGTTTTTATACTTTAATGCAAAAAGAATTAAAAATGAAAGATTTTTCTATTCTCACCTTTAAATAGTTCAGGTGATAATCCAAAAGAATAGTGGCGTTAGTGATGCTGTCCTTTGTTCCCACAAAAACAAATGGTACCATACCCTAGAAAATAAATGGCAACAACAACCCTATAAAATTAATAGTGGAATAATCTGAAAAATGCAAATAATGACTAAATCTCTAGCACAGGGTGTAACAAACAATAAGTACACAGATGTTTGTTGAAAATATAAATCAATACATGAAAACAAAAGTAGCTGGTATATTTTATGCATTTACTGTTAATAAGAACAGATCAATGTAACAACTCCCTCTATGCATCAGGTTATTACATTTTAAACACTAAAATGTTGTCAAAATCAGAAATTATGTAATTCAAAATTATACAGGGTTTAACATGAGATGCATAAACAAAATGAACATTCTAATTCATCTAGAATTTTTTACCAAAATCAAATTCTTTTAAAAAATCATTTATAATTAGATACTAAGGTACAAAAGTAAAAAACTAAATCAACTTTGCTAACCAAGTAAACAGAGTACAAACAAAACACAAACAAAATTAGGATACATTAAAATGTACTGAGCAATTATTCTGTGATGGGAAAAAAAACTGGCATACCCATGAGCATAAAATTTAATATTGCAATATATTTCAACAATGTGCTCTGAAAATTATAAAAGGCTGAGTCATAAGTAAAGTTTCATCTCCTTTCTATGGTACTATTTTAATATAAGGGTAGTTTTTTAAAAAGTACTATATTAAAATTTTATACTTCCAGCCCATCAGTACAAATGAGAAAAAAACACTATTTTTTGTCACGTTATAGAGAAGCACAGGCCAGTTGTGCAAACTAACAGCTAGCTATTATGACATTGATAGTTGAGAACATTTCAATATTTTGCTGAAGAAACACACAGAGTTACTGATATTCACAAGTGACTAAAAAAAGCATATAATGGCCATGATGGGGGTATAATTATACTTTTCTAGGCAAAGTTTCTAGGTGTTGGAAGCCAAGAAGCTATCTCTTTAGCAAGTATCACTCTTTTAAAAAGAGGATTCATTTGACAGATATTGCTACTGCTGGGCTACTGTTGCTTGCCTGCATTCACTAGACAGCATCTTAAATGGATATAGAGCTCGAACAGGATTATTTTTTCCTTCCACATGAACATGACTGTTGATGCAGAACAAAACTGAACAATTAGGAAATATAGTTAGAAGAGTGACCTTTATCTGATACAAAAGGCACTACTTCTCACTAGCAATGACCACCTGAGTAACCAGGTGGGATAAATCATGGGCTTCATAATGGACTTTTTTTTGCATCAAATATATATATGAACTATGGAAATTATCAGACCCATGGATCATATCTTCTTCTCAAAAACATTTTTGACTGTTGAGTTTTTCCCCTGTGTCTGTTACAAAACAGTTAACCACACTATTTTCCGAAGTGTCATATAAAATGCTATGCCCTTCCCTCTGGATCATATACAACCAAAATAAGATTTGAAACCCCATGTTACAGATTTAGTTTGATTGACTATGGAACAAATAATTTTAAAACATTTTCTTTTAACATGTCCAAACTGCTGCTGTACCCATGTACCACTCTAAATTAAGCATATTGCTAATAGGCCAGAATAGTATACTAAAATTTTAAAAAGGTGAGAGTAGAATGGTGGCCTTCTATACTGACACCAAGAAAAAGTGATTCCCTGTTCTGGCATGAAACTGACATGCCCAACAGACAGAAATATCCAATCCACCTGAGGTTGTACTTCTCTTCATAAAATGGCATTTTTGCTTTGAATCTCTTGTAAGTCATAACATTTTCCCCATAAATAGTTCTCATTAGCCATACAGAGGTCCCTTTGCTGCACTCAAGGAACCCACAATATAGCTGAGGTGCTACAATAGGGTCAGTACATTCACTGGAGCATGGAAGGGAGAAAGGCTCTTGTCAGTCAAGCAGGAGGTGGCCTGGGGCAAGTACCCATGGAAAACTGTATAAGGAGTAAGGTCAAAACAAGGTGGCAGGAGGAAGAGTGCTCTAGATGGAGAAAACATATGCATCTGTCTAGAAGCAACAGATAGTATAATTGTTCAGAGACCTCAAAGTACTTCAGTATGGTTCAAGCTTCTCTAGAGTGCAAGGGGAGGAGTTGTAACAGATGATACTGGGCAGGTGACCATGAAAGAAAGGCCTTATAAGTAACAGGAAGGTATCTGAAATTTCTCCACAGGGGCAATAAATCCACATATCCACAAGCACTCCTCCGCCAGCCTCCAACCTGGGTGATCATTTGTGGTCTTTCTTAACAAGGGGGATAAACATTAAAATATAAAATTAAAATGTATTTTTCAAGGAATGTTTTCCTACCTGCCAAGCCTAAACCTAAGTTTAGGTTTCTGGGATTCCCCTGCTACAATTGATGAAACCACTAACACCTAAAGCAGTATAAGGAATGCAAGTGATGTCATTAACTGTAAGAAATGATCTGTACACAGAAGCCTGAACACAGGACTTTAACTGTAGGACTTCCAAACTGATTTCTAAATAGTCAGATTAGTTCAACTATTGAAAACCAGTTTGTAAAATATGGTTTTTAGTAGTAACAAATGCATCTAACAGATGGTACATTTTGAGCTATGACAACCTGCAAAATTTCAAGTGATAAGGCGTGAAAAAATTAAAGTACACCCTCAAAAGAAAAATGTGACCATTAAAAGCAACCCCGTATTTTATGTTTACAACAAAAGTTTTGTCACTGTGAATAAACTGAAAAGTAGGTATCACCTTTGGTTTGTAGTATCATAAGCTAGCAATCAGATTTGAAAAAAAAATACAATATGAGTAGTCTATTAGCCTAACCAGAGAAAATACCTGTAACACCAATTATAACACCTGAGTAAAAGAAATTACTTTTAGTGTAATTCAAAGTGACAAATAGTTCTTACCCTCTGAACTTTTGTACTGTTAGGTTGAGAAAAATGAGTGCTGTTTTCCTTTATATCTATATGTTTTTTTTCTTCTGAGGGAGTAGATCCAACCCTTGAGTTACTGGAAGGTAGGGAATTTGGTGGCATAATTTCCTTCGTAAAACACATAAAACACAAGGGAAAAAAAGAACCAATTTTTAAGATTTTATTTAGCTCCATTATAGTACCAATGATCATATTAAAAAATATAAATTATTATAAACAGTTTTGGTAAACAAAATAGAATGAAAAATTCATGCAGTAAAAAGTAAAAACCCCAAACCATTTCATTCCAACCAAAAGAACCTTTCACAAAAGAAAAGAAGGTTAGGCAATATGTGAAAATTATGACAATTTGGGTGGATTTTATTTTAAACACTGTACTACTACTGTACAGAAGAATATGCCCTGACCTCCCCCACCCCACACAATACTTTATACACATAAACTAAAAAAGCCAAAGGATAAAAGCCAGAAAACCTAAGCAGTATCCCAATTTTGTCTCAGCCAGTAACATTAAGTGATAGTAATACACTTTTTTTACAATTATAATAACTCATTTTAAAGACTGAGAAATAAGACTTAAAGGGGTTAAAGTGATATACAAAGTCACAGCATTAGAGAATAGACAGAGGCCATTATCTACAACTATATCATTAACTGGCATGTCTCACAATCAGAATTTTTATATCCATGTTATGTGCATATCACAGAGGCCTCTAAATTAATGTCAAATAAAACAATAAAAAACTTTTCTCAGGCAAACGAGAAATATATGCACTAGAACATACCTCTTCTTGTGGAATATTTTTCTCATTTTCGGCCTCAATTCTCACCCTCACAACTCCTGACTTGTCCACAATCTCCTGAATCAGTTTTCCATTTTTTCCTATTACTTTGCCTAAGTTAAGAAATGAATAATTCATGTTTGGTTTTAAGAATACCTATCTTAAACCAGTAAGCACACCCCACTGTAAACTATCATGTTATTTTATATAAAACTGCAGGACCAAAACAGTCTTCAAATGAAAAGAAATAGTTAAAACTAGCTTTCCCTTTTTTTCAGGTCATTGTTGTTTATACACTTCTTTGTTTAGGTATTAGAGTTGATTAATACTCATGAACTGACTGGATAATTTTGAATTTTTAAGGAGGTTCAAAGACAAGCTCTTCTCTTGCACAAAAGGGTACACTTTAAGCTTGCTGGTACACTAGTGTGTACCATTCCTTTTTTCAAAATTCTATTTAAAAATTAAGAAAAATGATAGATAATAAAAATGCATCTGCATATTTATTTGACAATTTCAATTCTATCTGTACCTGATTTAAATCTGTTTCTTTGCTTATGGTAAATACAGTCACACACTGCTTAACAATGGGATATATTTTGAGAAATGCTTAGCTAGGCAATTCTGTCATTGTGCAAACATCAGAGTACACTCATACAAACCTAGATGGTACAACCTATTGATTCTAGGCTACAAGCCTGTACAGCATGTTACTGTCCAAAGAATAGATTAATCAAGTATAAGAAAAAATGATGCAATCAAGATACTCAAACATGAGATGTATGAGGCTGTTGCTAGTATAACATGACATACTGTTTTACAGCAAACTTTTTTCTTGTAAGTAGAAAGAGTACAGTCTAAGAGTGATACAAAGTACTGCACAGAATCTACATAAACCAGTATCATAGTTATTTATTATCAAGTATTATACACTATACATCATTGTATTACTATGTTTTATGTGACTGTCAACACAGATCTGTTTACACCGGCATCAGCACGAACATATGAGGAATGCATTGCACTATGATGTCACTAGGTAACAAAAATTTTTCAGCTCCACTATAACCTTATGGGAGCATCAAAAAGTATATGTGCTTTTCACTGACCAAAATTCATATGCAGGATATAACTGTATTTTTTAGAATTTTATATGACACATTTATAAACATTCTTCTAAGTTTTTAAGTGGCTTAAGCAGCTATACACATGTCTAACAGAAGTGCGCATTCTTCAGGCCAATGTATTAACAGAATACTACTCCTGTGCATTAATCACAAATTATATCAGTATATTAAAAGGTGAAGAGATAAGTCACAGAGTAAGAAATCACACTTTAAAATAACTCAGAAACACAATGTAAAAGCTCAAATACATCAGGCACTCAATTCTTTCCCTCATTTTATAAAATTCAGTCATATAAGTGAGAATTCATAACCATCATCATGTGTTAGTGTAAAGTGACACATTAGAAACGAAATAACTACTGCATCTAGAAATCTACATGTAAATTACTTCTAATTCCAAGTGCTCTCCCGAAGTACCCAAAGCACTCTTGCACTGGCCATGTTCATCATGTGCTTGGCCCACCCTCTCATCTAAAGATGTAATAGGGAAATATCTGGAAGCCCAAAATTAATTTTAAGAGAGTCTAAGATAAGACTCCAGGGAATGCCTTCTCACTACAGGATCGTGTGGTTCTAATCAGCACTGCTTTAGTACTCATACTGCATGTGGTACCTTCACTCACCTGGATAACTTCGACCAGTGGTCAGGGATCAGAACTAACACTAAAACAGGAATCCTGACCTAGGTGCTTTCGGCAGTTATTTCTGTTCTTCTTCTCTTCAAATGTAAAGGAATGGCAGTACAATTTACAATAGCCAAGTGCTGGAAGCAACCTAAGGGCCCATCAGTAAATGAATGGATCAAAAAAACCATGGTACATTTACACAATGGAATACTATGCATCAGAAAGAAGGAGCTACCACCCTTTGCAACAGCATGGATGGAACTGGAGAACATTATGCTAAGTGAAATAAGCCAGGCGGTGAAATACAAATACCATATGATCTCACCCATAAGTGAAACCTAATTAACAAACAAGCAAGCAAGCCAAATATAACCAGAGGCATTGAAATTAAGAACAAATTGACATTAACCAGATAGGAGGTGGGAGGAGATAATGGGGAAAGAAGGGGGAAGGGTTGTCAGGAATCTCTATAAAGGACACACAGACAAAACCAAAGATGGTAGGATTAAGGGTGGGAAGTGGGGATGGCTGGGGTGGTGGGGAGTGGTGGAGGGAAAATGGAGACAATTGTACTTAAACAGCAATAAAAAAAGAATAATATAAGGGAAAAAGAATGTGAACTAATGGAGAAAGAATGCTTTTGAGAGAACAGAGGGAGGAGAAATAGTAAGAGTAAGGAATACTGGCAATGCATAGCATGGGGAAAATAGTATTTACAGTGAAAATAAAGGCAGGAAGAAGGCAAAGTGGAATAAGACAAGGGAAGAGTACAAGGGAAGATTTGAAATAACAATAAAATAAAAAATAATATAAAATCTACATGATAATTTAAAAAAGAAAAAAACAAAAATGTAAGGAATGGGAGAGTAGAGAAGGTACCCAGAGTCTTCCCAGTTTGTTTTTAATCCATAATGCATATTTTCATAAATTGATGATTTGAATAATACTCCAAATGAGTCAGCAAAAAAAAAATTGAGATTTTGGCACATGTTTTCATTAATATCTTAACTATTCTAAGTACTATATGTTAACTATCGCTGATGGAAAATTAAACCAATTCACTGTCAAGGTGTGTGAAGAACAAGCAAATATTTAGAAAAGCAAGCTAAATCACTGTGCATATTAAGGGTTTGTAAAAAATAAAGAGATCATAAATCACATTGTGAGCCTCCAAGAAAACTCATGCAATATATGGAGCCGTTCTGGGTGTTATGGAAATGTAGCTCAGCCTCCACCTGGAAAACCAGTGGGGAGCAAGGTCCCAGCACACAGGAGCCATGCCCACGGATAGGTTCTCCCGTGGGGAATCAGGCCTGCACTGTACCCAGACTGCTATGAGACTTGCTTTGCTAAAACTCCCTCACCCTGAATCGAGGCAGCAAGTGCTTACTGTAACTTCCTAAAGTCTGTGCTAAGCCTCCCAAGTATGGGAGGTTCAACCACTTTCCCCCTCAATCTGTAACATCCTTCTCTTTGAAGTAATTAGCAACATTCTTTCCTTTGTTATCTGTAAAAGGTAATCACCTGCAGCAAACTTGTGCATAGTAAATGAGGACCATCCTCCATGTAATGTCCCCAGAAAAGCAATAAAAGCCTGTTCAGGCAGGGGCTGGGGCCCTCTCACCCTCTCTCTCCTAGAGAGTGACCATGCTGTCCCTTTTTCTCCACAGGAGTTCTGTTGTCCATGTGTATTTGTTCGTATCAACCACAATACACATGGATCCTACCGGCCAGGATCCACATCAATGCAATACTTATTAGACGTCTCCTAAAGATCTGACTTGCCAAATTGTATTATATAAGAATTATTTCTGAAAACTCCTAACATTCTTAGTGTTGAAGTAGATAATCTCATTTTACTTACTAGAAGGAAAACAAAAAGCAGGCTGATTGTACATCAGGAGGTTTTCTGGTGAAAGGTCAGTTCTGGAACCTTCTTCTCTATGACCACAGGTTGCTTCTATGTTTAATAGCAAATAATGCAATTCTACATTCCACAGTTATTTCAAAATCCCAATGGACAGTTTAGTATACTTCTGCTCTACTAAACTGGATGGAATTATTTTGAATAAGGGGACAGGAAAAGAACTAACATTTAGAGTCCCCTACTATGCCCTCAGCTTAAGTAATATATATCTATATATTGATACCTAAATATCTAAATATTCCTACATAATCACCACAACACCCCTGTGTGGTGGACACTATTATCACATTTTTTTAGAGGTGAAGAAAAAAAAGTCAGGAGGGCTAAGTCAGTTGCTAAGGTGAAACAGCTACTGACAAGTAAAATTGAAATCTAGATCAAACTACAATACCCAAGAACTTTCCCCCATCATCATGCTATATCCAAAATGCACTTTAATGAATTTGACACAGTAAGTTTCTAATTGTTAAATATTGCTTGACAAACTGTAAAAAAGAGAAAAATAAATACCATTCATAACACCCCTCTAAAGTAATCAGGTAGTGTGCACAACTGGTGTGCAAGTTACCTCAATAACACTATATAGTCATGTTCTTTAGTTGTCTATAGTATATACTTGAGTGAATAATTATGCATTATTTCACTAGTACCTATACTGTTTCTTCAATACAACTAATTTTCTTTGGAGAAAAATATTGTTCCAAGTGTTTTTTAAATGGTATAGGAAGATGGTTATAATTTTATGCTGACAAAAAGCAGACTAAGCAGGACTGAAACTGTGAATGAAATGTATAGGAAGATCTTATGTTTTCATTTTTAAACTTTCCAAAGGGTATGACTTACTTTTTATAACTAGTTACGGTATAAAGTTTTAAAAATGGTATAGGTAGTATGTCCAAATTTTACTTATATATTCAAAACACAGGTAGTGTTCTTGACAAAACTGCACCTTGATACATTCTACTAAAGGTATCTGCAGTGTTTGAGAGTATTGGTGAACAGTTCCCAGATAGTTGCTGGTACTACTCATCATGGTCATGAAAGAAAAGTCAAAATGAAGAATGACCATAGATGGCTAAGGAAACCATCAAGAAAATTAAAAGACAACCTACTGAATGGGATAAGTTATTTGCAAATGATATTATATGGTAAGGGGTTAATAGCCACAATATATAAGAGACTCATTCAACCTACCATCAAAATATGAAAAATCCAATGAAAAATGAGCAGAAGACTTCAACGGGTTTCTCTAAAGAGGACATATAAATGACTAACAATCATATGAAAACATGTTCAACATCTCTAATTGTCAGAGAAATGCAAATCAAAACCACAGTAAGATATCACATCACATCTGTGAGAATGGCTATCATCAAAAAAATCAGCAAACAACTTCCGCCAAGATGGAGGCATAGGTGGATGTGCTGTGCCTTCTCACACAACCAAGTTTAGAGACAACTAAATATTAGCAACAGAAAACACAGCCAGAACACGGAAAATTGAACTTTTCGGAAGTCCGTTAACAACAAATTCTTCAGCCTGACTGGGCTGAAAGGGGTGAAACCAGCGGCTGGTGAAGCGGGATTGCACAGGAGGTCTCTGTCAGCCGGACTCAGGCGCGGAATCCAGACGCGCGGAATCCAGGCGCAGGGTTGGACCTAGTGAGCGACTGAGCGAGCCACCAGGCAAGCTACCGCGGGGGGAGACAGCGGGGGAGAGGTGCTGCGTGTTGGGCCGGGCCGGCGGGTCCCCACGGCTAGCGGCTGTGGAGGGCACCGCCATTTCCCTGCTCTGACCCCACCTCCACATACAGCGTCATAACCCAGCGACTCTGAGTGGCCCGGCCCAGGTGAACCACCTAAGGCGCTGTTCCTCACCCAGCTGTGAGAAATAGCAGAGGGTGCCACCATTTCCCCGCTCTGACCACGCCCCCACATACAGCGTCACAACCCAGCGACCTGGGAGTCCAAGGCACCGCTTCTCACACTTAAAGGGCGCGAACAGACCAAAAATGTCGCAAGAATATCTCAAAGCCCCAGAGGCCATAGATCTAAGCGATGAAGAAATAGCAAAACTCTCAGACGCACAGTTTAAAACACTGGTCATCAGGATCCTCAAAGAACTGGTTGATTATACCGACAAATTAGACAAATATATGAAGGCGAAACTAATTGAAATGAATGGAATTGCACAGGACACCAATAGCAATGAAAAGGAAACTGGGACTCAAATCAATGGAGTGGACCAGAAGAAAGCAAATAATGGCCAAACAGAAAAGAGTCAAGAAGCAAGAATTCAAAGAAATGAGGAGAGTCTTAGGAACCTCCAGGACATCTTTAAACGCTCCAACATCCGAATTATAGGGGTACCAGAAGGGGGAAAGGCACAGCCACCAGTGGAAAACTTATTTGAACAAATAATAAAGGAGAATTTCCCCAATCTGGCAAAGGAAATAGACTTCCAGGAAATCCAGGAAGCTCAGAGAGTACCAAAGAAGTTGGACCCAAGAAGGAACACACCAAGGCACATCATCATTACATTAGCCAAAATTAAAATGAAGGAGAGAATCCTAGAAGCAGCAAGAGCTAAGGGGACAGTCACCTACAAAGGAGTCCCCATCAGACTGTCGGCAGATTTCTCAAAAGAGACCTTCCAGGCAAGAAGGGGCTGGAAAGAGGTATTCCAAGTCATGAAATCCAAAGACCTACAACCAAGATTGCTCTATCCAGCAAAACTTTCATTTAGAATGGAAGGACAGATAAAGTGCTTCTCAGATAAGATCAAATTCAAGGAGTTCATCATCACCAAGCCCTTATTATATGAAATGTTAAAGGGACTTATCTAAGAAAAAGAAGTTAAAGAAACATGAACAGTGAAAGGACAACAAACTCACAGTTATTAACAACCACACCTAAAACAAAAGCAAACTAAAAGGACAGCTAGATCAGGAGTGGAAACATAGAAATGAAGATCTCAAGGAGGGTTAGCAACAGGGGAGTGGGAGGAGGAGAAGGGGGGGAGAAGGTACAGAAAATAAGTAGCATAGACAGTAGATAGAAAATAGATGGGGGGCAAGAATAGCATGGGAAATATAGAATCTAAAGGACTTGAGACACATGGTCATAAACTAAAGGGGGGGTAATGGTGGGGATGGGGGGATAGGGTGGAGGGGAATGAAGGGGGGAATAGAACAACTATAACAGCATAATCAATAAAAAAAATCAGCAAACAAGTGTTAGTGAAGATATGGAGAAAGGGGAACCCTAGTGCACTGTTGGTGGGAATGCAGACTGGTGTAGCCACTGTTGTAAGCAGTATGGAATTTCCTCAAAAAATTAAAACTCAAAGTGCCTTAAGACCCAGCAATACCACTTCTGGGTATTTATCTGAAAACAAAACAAAACAAAACAAAACAAAACAAAACAAAACAAAACAAAACAAAACAAACACTAATTCAAAAAGATATATGCACCCCTATTTTCATTGCAGCATTACTTACAACAGCTATGATATGAAAGCAACCTAAGTTTCTATTGACAAATGAATGGATAAATATTCATGTCACACACACACACAAATGAAATATTACTCAGTTGTTAAAAAGAATGGCATCCTGTTATATTTACGATAACATATATGGACCTAGAGGGTATTATGCTAAGTGAAATAAGTTAGAGAAGGACAAATACTGTATAATTTCACTTATATATGGAACCTGAAGAAAACAAAACAAAACTAAACATAAACAGACCCACAGACACAGAGAATAAGCTAATCATTGCAAAACTGGACGGGAGTGGGGGATAGGTGGAGAAAACATTACCATTCAAGTTGTAGAAAGGCCCAGAGACACTAGGAGTTACTTACAGCTTTGAAAGTTACTACATTTAAGTAACCTACATTCAGATTTTCAACTATGAGATAATTAAGAATGCTATTAGCTCCATTAAAGGCATCAAATATCAACCTACTCCAAATTATAAAGGCCCTCAAATGCCATTTACTGTGAAAAACACATTTTCAGTTTTAATATACATAAAATATACAATGAAGAGGCTATGTAAAATGTATCTCTCTTGGCACAAGTAGGTTTGAATTATATTTTGTATACTTTCTAAATGTAATCTTTAAGTATCGTATTTATCAAATATTTGCTGTACACTGTAGCAGCAGACCATATATCAAAGATTAAGCTTCAATTAAGTAAGTTAAAATGGAAGGGTCAAGTCAAGGAACATGTATAAAGGACCCATGGAAAAGGACTATGAGGACAATGGGAGGGGGAAGACTGAATGTGGGAAGAGGGGTGGGTAGAAAAGGATAAAGTAATGGGGAAAAAAAGGGGGACAACTGTAACTGCACAACAATAAAAAAGTAAAATCTGCACATCTGGGGGGAAAAGTAATCATATAGTTGTAAATAATTTACCTAACTTTTGTATTTTTAGTGTACGTCAACAGCAATTTTTGACTCACCTACTAAGTTCCTTGGAACTTGTATGACATCTTCAGCAAATTCAAGAAAGCTTCTAGCTTTTTTCACTGCATCCTGATCCTATTAAAAAGGGGAAAAAGATATAAGCCAAAATATGAGCCATCTGAAACACTAGCTTTTATTTTAGGGGGAAAAACTGTTTAGTCAAATATTTACCTCTCCATAAATATGAAATGTACAGGTATCTTCATCTAGATCAATAGCAGTGACCCCAGGTACTTTTCTAGCTTGCTGAATATTAGCACCATGAGTACCAATCGCTAGACCCATCAGATCTTCTCGTACAATAAATTGTTCATGAAATCTTGAAGCAAGCTGCCTTGAACTCTGAAGAGAAATGTGTATCTGATTAATATGCTTTATCAAGTACTGAGACAACTGTATTTAAGCCAGCTACGTACATTATCTTGACCCTATGTACCAGACGCCTATAAATTAGTTTCAAGTTTTAGAAAACGGCAAGTTGGAAAGTGGCAAGTTTTAGAAAAATAACATCCACACACAGCATAAGCTCTTTTTAGGTTACTGAAGGTCAATGCTATTTGATATATTTTTGTTAACTGGAAAGGGCTTGTTGACAATTTTCCAAGGTAACTTTTGAAAATGTATTTGCAAGGCTGACTTAGTTAACTAATGACATCAATATCATAGTGATTAGGAAGATCACATGTTCCCAAATAAAAACCAGTTCACTGGGTCTGAAAAAAACACAACGTTTTTTAAGTAAAAAATAAATTAGTAAATAAATACCATCTCTAAAAAATTATATTAACTTCATTTTTATTAAAGGATATTGGTATATATAGCAATAGATATTCTGGAAACAGTGCCATGTATATATATATAACTTATTTCTAGATACTGTGGCCTAGACATCCCTTTGATGTAGTTTTGACATTACAATGACATCCACCAGCCTCATCTCCCAACCTGAGGAAAGGGATTCATAAAAACTGTTGGTACAGGGTGAGGGGGAGGAAGATGGTGGCAAGGCAGGTGGGAGTTGAGCCATCTTGCTCGTGTACCCAAATGGGACACCTAGCCAACCTTCCGAAGAAAAGAGGTAACAGCCAACAGGATACCAGCTGATATGAATTCTGGAAGCCAAAGTGTGCAGAGGATGCTTAAAAATGGGCAGTAAGGAGATTTTGTAGGCTGATGGGAAAGTCCCTGAGCCATGCACCAAAAGCCATGACTGCCATGGAGGCATTGAAGTAGAATCGGGTCAGTGATAGTAGCCTACTGCCTCTCTCCCCTCCCAAGGTGGGGAAGTCACAGACCCGTGACAGGAGAGACCTGGATATGTAAAGTCACTGTGGGGATAAAGAGGCAGTAAGAAACACACAGCTGGTGGTGTAAGTGGGCTGGGATGGCAGTCACTGGCTGGGATGGCAGTCGTTGGCTGGGGCAGGGGTCACTGGCTGTACCAGAGAAACTGGGTGACAGACCTAGGTAGGCTTGGGAGGAATGGAAGATCACCAGGCAGGAAAACTACACTGTGGGAAACTGTAGCCTGGGAAAATGCCTGCCTGGGAAACTGCCTGCGGGTCCTACCCAGAACAAAGAGATGCTCGGCTAAGAATTGGGGTCTGGGGTCAGCCTATCTGGCATAACAGGATGCAGCTTTAAACTGAGGTCTGACAAGATGTATCAAGAACATAGGTCAGCAGAAATGGTACCCAGCAACTAGCTTTAGTCAATCAGACCCTGACACCCCAAGCAGGGGTGGCACTTCCCAGGTTTTGGCACTCAAAAACCCTGCCCTAAGAACAGCCTAGCAAGTCTTATCCTCCCTTGGTTGGCTCCCCAACCTCCTTAGTTAGCTACACTTTCCTCTTTTATTCCCAGCTAATAAACTCTGCTCCTTGGCTTGCTGCATCTGTCTGGTTTCTTGAGCTACTCTGACCTAACACTGGGGAATGAGTGGGGTGACACTTGGAGGTAGGAGAAGAGATGGACCACAACTGGTTGTGACCCAGAGTGACACTGGGCTGGTCGGAGAGTTGGACTGTGTGGAAAGTCAGGCTTTTGTTGGGAGCAGCAGGCAGCACCCAAGGGGAATTTTCTCAAGAAAAAGGACTGAACATCCAAGCAGGGACTTCCTAGGCTCGGAGGCCAGGACAACAAAGGTGGAAGGGAGGTGGGATTTGCTCCCACTCAGCCCACCTTATGGACTAATCAAAGGTTCACAAAATGAGGGGGATTATCAGTCAGCCTGGTGCAAATGCACAGAGTGGACAGAGCACATGCAGCACAGTGCTCTTGAGGGAGTGGGCTGGGAAAAAGGCACCTGTGGTTGTTGTAGCCCAGACTGAGCCCACATCCTTGCTGAACCACAGGAAAAGGAAATGACTGAGTAGAGCCCAGTCCCCCTCTGCCTGCAGAAACTGGGAAGACATGCAAAATTGGTTTGACAAGTGTAAAATCAGCAGAAGGCTTTCTTTTCTTTTCTTCTTTTGTGAGACTAAGACAATAAGACCTAGAGCTGTGAGCAAACCAGAGGGATCCAGAAAGAAGTCAGAAGGAAAACAACGGCTGAGACAAATTTCACTTTGCTACCTTTCAGAACTTGCATGTTTTTTTTCTCTTCCTTCTGTTTATGTAGGTTGTTTTTGTTGTTTGATTTGTTTTTTGTTCTCCCTTTCATATTGCATTTTAATTTTTCTTCTTTCACTTCACTCATATTCCAAATTACACACTACTCTTGGTCTTATACTTTTTATTATTTTTATTCAGATTATATATTTCTTATCACACTACTGTTATTCCAAATGCCATATAGTATCCTTCCCTGGTCTTAATCCATTTCACCATCTTCCTGAGCCTTATTAATGCTGTAGCTAACTTTACTCTCTTGCATAGTATGCTAAGTTTCTATCCCTTAATCTCACTATTTCTTATCCATCTAAACTCTCCTAAGTGCTCTGCTTTTCAATGTCAACTCACATTCTTTTTCCCTTCTAATAAGTCATTTCTTTTTCACCTTTTTTAATAAATAGTGGCTAGTTGGGTGAAATATCATGGTTATTGTTGTACTTCTCCAAAGGAACTCCTCTTTATTCACTACTTGGTACTTTAAACCCTACAGAATACTCTACTGCTGTCTTTCTCCAAATCATCTGTGCCCTGCCAACAATCAGTTGGATAAGAAATTTTTATTTCATTGTTTTCTCTCTCCCTATTGTTTTTCTTTCCTTTTCCTTCTTTATTCTCCCTCTCTCAAACTGGGCTTTACTCCTTACTCTTTTTGCTTTCCTTCCCCCAGGCTCTCATAATCATTTTTCTTTACTGTAGAGATCTCATATACAGTTTCTGCATTTCTACAATACAATTATTCCTGTTCCAACTATATTAAACTTCATTCAGTATTTGCTGCTGTGGTTTTTCTGCAATTTTGCTCCCCTTGGTCCAGTATGTTTTCAATTTTACTTCAACCCTCACAGTATACCCCTTTTCCCTCTTATTTACCCCATGGTTCCCATCCTCCTTTCATGTTTTACTTATGTTACAAATTTTGTTCTCTCCCTTTCTTCACCTAGGTTCCATCCCAACTCTTAACAATTCTCCTCCCTGTTACTACAAAAAAACATTTCCCCCTCTTTCAGTCATCTCATATTCCCTTTGTCATCTCTTATAATATCCACAATCTCCCTTCACCTTTATTAATTTTAGTTCAATTGTGGTTGAGACAGGTGTTGCAATAGGAGGGTTCTTTTTGCTGGCATAGGTTTGGTGGTCTGATAATACTGCTTTGTTAACCAATACCTGTACAACAGCAGACAAGACAAAGTGGGAGTTGTGAAAACCAATAAACCTGTTGGAGAGGAGAACCCACCAACAAAGAAGCCACTAGCAGGTAAAGCCCAAGTACAGCAAGAGAGCAAACACAAACAAAAGAAAGGACAACCCTGGAGCATTCACACAAGGAGATCAAAGAGACTGCACGACTGAGTCACACAGAACTCCTACTACAGAAGTTGACCCTATGCAGAGAGCTGGCAAAGGAGAGCATCTGGAATTGCAGAAACAAACAAAGCATTACCTAAAATGGGGAGACAAAGTAAGAATCCACAATGGAAAGGAATGGAAGAATCCCCAGTTAAAGAGCTAAATGAAATGGAAGCAAGCAAACTATCAGATACAGAATTCAAAAGAATGGTTATAAGGATACTCAAAGAACTCCCTGACAACTAAAAGAAACTCACTGTGAAATACAGCAGTATGAAAAAGGAAATAGAAATTTTAAAAAAGAACCAAAAAAAGTGAAGAATACAATATCTGTAATAAAAAATACACTAGAAAGAATTACAATCAGCCTGCATGAAGGAGAGGACTGAATTACTAATCTGGAAGACGAGGTAGAAAGAAATATGCCTAGACCAGCTGCACAAAAAAAGACTAAAATAATATGAAGACTGCTTCACGGAACGTCAGGACAACATGAAAAACAACAAATTTGAATCATAGCAATCTCAGAAGGAGAAGAAAAGGAGCAAAAAATAGAAAACCTGTTTGAAAAACTAGTGACAGAAAACTGTGCTAACCCAGAGAGGGGGAAAGCCACGCCAACCACAGAAAGCACAGAGGGTCCCAATTAAGATGAACCCAAAGAGGTCCACTCCAAGACACACTGTAATTTCAATGACAAATTTTAAAGACAAAGAGAGAATCTTAAAGGTAGCAAGGGAGAAACAGGAAGTAGGGTAACATAAAAGGGAGCTCTGATAAGGCTAGCAGCTGATTTCTAAACAGAAATACAAGGCAGAAGGAAATAGCAAGAAATATTCCAAGTGGATCTTGAAGATGGCGATGGAGTAGGATGGAGTGGATTCTATCTCCCCCTACACATGGGAGAAAAACCTGGCCGATCTACGGAGGAACAGAGCAAACAGTCAACAGTTCCCCAGCATATATGAAAATAAGAGACCAGATATTGTACTGGACACTGAAAAACCAGATGGTAAGGAGACGGCTGCAGGACAGTAGGGTATCAGGGACCAAAGCAAAGACAGGAGTGACAGCAGCCTCAGATTGCGCCCAGCAGATCTACCATGGACTCTTTGGGAGCCCCAGGCCTGCCGCTGGGTCCTTAAGAGAGAGCAGGGTCATCAGCTCCCTCCCTCTATGGGCAAGCAAGGTTTGGGCAACACTAAGAGAGACCTGGTTGCTTGAGGCTGCAGAGAGGGGAATAAGGAAAAAGGGCCATGATCACCCGCAGACTCTGTGGTCTCCAGCTTTGGGGAATTGAGAGACCCAGTGTCGGGTTTCGACTCTGATAATCACCAGTCTGGCTGGAGAAATGGGCTGTGCTAGGCAGGCTTAAGTGG